TGAGGCGTGGCAGGGTGGAGCTCCCTGTGGGTCAAGGTGCTCAGGTAGGTTGAGAGGCCATGAGTGTCCCTCTTCACAGGTTCCAGGAAGGCTGGGTGATGAGTCCAGATTGTTGGCTTTCCATGTTGGGGACCCCCACAGCCACTCCTTCCCTCTGCCTATGCCTCCTCCAGCTGAGACTTTCAGTATGCTTGCCTGGGAGTCTACAATGCGTATGTAGTGCCTCCTGGTGGCCGATGCGGCCCCTCACTTGGATGAACACAGCCTTGAGGAAGGGAGGTGGGCCCAGACAAGTCAACACGACCAAGCCTTGCCTCAGTTTCCCCAGGCTGTTTTATCTCTCTGTTTATGGTTCCACAGAGGGTCTGGACACTCGGGGGGGGGTTGGGGGGAGACTCGGGTTGCTAATCTCAGGTGGCTACAGTCCCTCTAATCAGGCCAATGAGGACCTCGGAAATCAAAGCCCAGTCAGCTCAACTGCCCTGGTGTCAGATGAAGTACAGGTGGATCCCTGCCTTCCATTCATGGGGATGACTAGAGTCTGTTTGTGCCCAGTGGCCCTAGATCCCATGGTGGACCATCCTAACGATGTGTGGACACTGTACCTCACACCTTCGGCCGACTGTGCCCGCTCCCTGCTCCTGTACCCACCTCCCTCTCTAGACCCACCTCTTCAGTTTTTGGGGAATCTGTCGGGGCCTGTCCGTGCTTGACTTTGCCCCACAGCCAGATGCCAGGCTTGGGTGTGGACCTGGGGGCCCTTCCACTTCGAGATGGGCAAAGCCTTGCCCTGGACCTGAGACCCTTTGTAGTAAGTAGGGACACAGGTGGAGAAGGCTGGATGGGGGACATGATGCTCTGATTCTTGGCAGCAAGTGTTTCCCCACCCTGTTGGTGTCATGGGGCCGCAGTTTGGACACCATTCCATCCCTGAGCCGGCCTCCCATGCACACACACTCACACCCACACAGCTCACCTCCTTGGTGGCTCTGGGCAGCTGGCAGGGACCACTGGGCTGGTGCCTTGCTTTGGTTTCTCAGTATGCTCTGCAGTTTCCGGCCCGAGGAGGTCCTGCCTCAGTGAGGTCTCCAGCTCTCTTCTGGCCTCCTTCTCAGCAGCTGGGGCAGCCCAGGCCCCGTGGACACTATCGCTGCTGCCTGAGCATGGCTTCACGGAGGCCCCGAAACTCCTCCCAGTCCTGCCCGGCCTGCCTTGCCTGCCCAACAGCCTTGTTGGAACACACCCTTCACCAGGCCACACCCTCTGGCATCCTGGATTCTGGGACCAGCCTTTCTTTCCCTGACCTGGTCAAGGGTGTCCACAGGCCTAGTCCTTGGAGCTGCTGATGTCTAGCCAGGTTTGTGACCATGAACCCATGAGACCAGTGGGAGCTGGTCTCCACGTCCAACTTGGGTTGGGCGTCACAGTGCCAGTGACATGTATGTACTGAGGGGCGGGGATGACTTTCAGCTTTCCCCTCTATCCACACAGCTCTCTCTCTCTTCATCTCTGAAGCACCTGAAGGCACACCTCACTTCTAACCACTGATCAAGGTCACTTATATCTGTCACACGATGCTGGCAACAGGAGACACGGGCTAAGTAAGTGTGTACCATGGTTATCCAGGCACATGGAAGTGGGCGGGTCAGGGTGCTATCAGAATCTTGTGTACTGGGACCAGCAAGAAGGCTCATTGATGACCTGAGTTTGGTCCTTGGGACCCACATGGTAGGAGAAAATTTCCTTTCTAACTGTCCTCCATATGTATACAATGGGACATCCATGCCCACACATACAAATAAATGTAAAAATAAAGTAATAAAAAATCTTTGGTATGGCCTTGTGAGGTATGCCCAATGCTTCTCATACTCTGGATGGTCCTGCTGGCTCTTTCTCTTGGAGGTCTCCCGCCACTTCCCTGCTCCTTCCAATCACCCTTTCTCCCCATGCCTTGGTTTGTGTTCAGTCATCCATCATGGTGGAGGTATCTGTCCTCACTCTCCAGGCCCTTGTGTCTGTGTGGTGGGGATGGGCTCAGGGATCCATGTGGCCTTATATGCCGTGTCCACTCTGGTGGGCTCTGAGGCCTGGGGCATAGTTCTCTTCAAGCTCTCCTACTTGGGCTTGTATTTAAAGATTTCTTCCACTTGAGTAGGGCTCTGGGGTCTTCCATCTTGCCGTCCTTGTAGATTCTGTTTATTCTTGCCTCCAGCTGATCTTAGCACTCTTGACCCTACAGAAAAGCCCTGATGTGTGATGGCAAACTGTAAGCCACAGTGGTACTGCCCCTGCAGCCACCCTGTACATCACGTGGGCTCCTGACATCACTCACCATTGGTCCCCGCTCCAGTTGCTCACTCAGGGCTTGTCTTTTCCTTTTATGGTATGTGGTGTGTGTGTATCGCGGGCAACTGCTTCGTCTTCCTGCCTTTTTACATGGATTCTGGAGATCTGAGCTCCAGTACTCAAGCTTGGTAAACCTTCATCCCAGCTCTGGGACTCTTGACTTCCCAGTCCTCAACCTCAAGCCAGTACAGCTCACTAGTGTGCCCTGTGTGCTGCTTACTTGGTTATAGGGAGCAGAGTGGGGCTTGATCAAGCTCCCAGAAAGGCACCTGCAGGGACCCCCGAGGATAGCTGCCTCAGGCTTCCCTTGATCGCTAGTGCCAAGTAAACCGCTGAGCAAGAGCACATTGTCCTGGCCACTGGGGAGGCTGCTTGATCTCAGCAGAAAACTGCTAAAAGACCTCAGGATGGTGAAGGCACGGCCCGTGGGAGGCAGCCTGCCCTGTAGCATGTAACAGGCAGAGTCATCTATGTTCATACTTTACATGTGCTAGGAGTTGATTACAGACCTAACTCAGGTGTATGCCACGTGCAGCCCCTCTATCCACAGAAATACCTTTCACCCAGAAATCGCTGATGCTGTGGATCTCTTCGGGGTGACAGTTCTCTCCTGAGTTATGGTGGCAGCAGAGGACAGAGGAAGCCCTGGCCAGGTCCCTTCTCCGGTAGAACCTTGCTTGATATATACAGCAGATCTGGGCAAGGGGCACCGGCTTAGACGATTAAGGCATTTGGTGTGGGTCTGTGTTTTATGGCTACCAGACAGTTCCAGACAGCTCCAAGCAGCTGTAAATACTGCCCAGCTTGGAGAGGGAGCTGGTTCAATCACAGGTCAGTTTCAGCACCCCTTCCCAAGGCTGCAGGCAGCCTCTAGCCCTGCAGACAGTGAATGAAGCTGCTTTTATGTTTCCAGCTGTCACTTATATGGAATACACTCTGACCCTCCTGAGGATCAAGTGTCCCCATCACTTGCTTTTTGGGGTAGTGGAGGACCCAAGGAGATGGCTGGAAAGGAAACCGCTTGAACCAGGACCAGAAGCCTGGAGGCAAAACCAGCATCCCTGAACCTTATTGGCTGGTGGAGCTGACACTGATGACTGAGCTGTTAAAGGGCTTGGTGGCTGGATGCTCCATCTGCACTCAAATCCCAGCTCTTCCACCTGGGAGCAGCTGCTGCGTGGCCTCTCTAGGGGCACAGGTGTCTTGAACAGGTTGTTGAAAGGGATGTAATGGGTCACCCGATGGGCCACTTGAGCTGGCTCCGTTGTCTGCTAAGGGACCAAATCAGAAAACCAAAGCCACAAACCTGAACTTGGACCTGGCCTCGAGCTCCACCCAGGGTGATCTCTATCTGCTAAGGCAGGGACGCTGGGACTTGCTGGTTGGTCATTCATCTGAATAATCACAGGCTGATACCAAACAGAGACCTTTGTACAGCACCACCCCACAGGGCTCTCCTGAGCATGCCCTGCCCTGCCTGGATCTGCCAGCTGTTTGTACCCCACACTGGTCCTTCTTCTTCGTGGCCTATGAGATTCCTGATGGCCCATGCTCTGCAGAGGCTGGTGGCAACTGGGATGATGGGTAAGAGGTTATAGAGGGGGCACCTGGGTGGGAGCTGCCAGACCCCAACACCTGTCTACCCTGGGGACATAAAGGAGAGGCGGAACTAGGGTCTGGGAAAGGATGGACAGAGCAAAGCTGTGTGGGAGAGCTGCCTGCCGGGGATGGGGGTGCAGACAGGGTGGTCGTTGGAAGCTGCAGGCACAGGGCTGTCAGAGGCTTTGGGACACGGGCAGAACTCCCCACTCTCACCCCAGCTGAGCCGGTTTCAGCCTACAGCCCTCCCCAGCTGTCTCTGGACCTCCACATGCATCAAGACTTGAGGCTAGCCAGTCCCGACTCATTCTAAGTGAATAGTGGCCACTCATGCTCACTGCCCACCATTGGACCTAGAGGGCGCTCCTGGACCTTTGGTTCAGAGGCCAAGTCGGCAACTGCATTCCCACTTCCTGAGCACACATCCTTGGTCCCTGCAAAGGCACCAGTTTGCACTCCATTCCGGATTTCTACTTGGCTTCTCTCTGGCCTCTTCTCCACTGGTGACTAACAGCAGATTCACTATCAGGCTTCAGAAAGTCCCACGCAGCTGTGATCAGGACCCCCCCTCCCATCTCCTCCCGCGGCAGGAGACCCCAGGAGTCCCAGGATACCACCCTACAGAGGAATGGGCACCGACAGGCCAACTCTGGCATAAATGCCAGCCTAATGTCAAGGCCTAGTACTGGTCCCCCAACCCTTGCAGTGAGCTTTGCAAGTATTTCTAAAGTGTGTGGGGGGGACCCCCAACTTGATTCAGAACCCTTCCTCTTCTCTGAGCCCAGGTTCGATCTTTGGCCTCCTGTGCCCCGCACTGACCCATGGATTTCCCATCCACCCCATCCTTAGGGAATCCATCTGCATGGCCACCCCTGGCTCCGCTTGCCACATGTCCAGTACCCAATGCTGGCTGAACTCATGCCTGGGACCTACCTCACACGCCAGCAACCATGTGCTGTGGTTTTGACAAACAGGTTTTCCTCCCACCTCAGGTGGCCTGAAGTGAACCTCGACACATGACCACAAGCTCTCAGCATTAGTGACAAGGCTAGTCAGGCAGTTTAGGTTTACTTTTAATGAAAAAGTCTCCTCACAAGTGCTGCTGCACACACACTGACGGCCGCCAGTCCCCAGAACCGGCTGCGGATTTCCACGCCGCAGGTGCCTCTGCTGCGGCCCAGACTCGTTTCCAGGGCTGCAGGTGGAAGACAGCGGCCACACGGGGAGAGTCCCCTGAGATCTGAATGCTGTTTCCGGCTTCAAGGGCTAAAGCCAGAGAATGCGCCTCCACCTGACTGTCCTGGCGCTGGAAAGATGGGTCTCACAAACCCCGCCGAGCGTCCACCTGTCATGTCCGACCGTCATGTCCTGCTGACTGCAGGTCACCACACCTGGCACATCCGGATCACCTCCTTCAAGGCCTTCAGGCCCTCCATGCTCTTGTCTTTCACAGCCAGGGCCAGGAGGACGGCTCTGTTTCCTGCTTCTTGAGATACAAACGCTACCAGGTTCTTCGCAAAGACATGGATGAGAGGCTGGGGAAGTGGGGAGACAGGACCATGAGTGCAGGAAACCTCACTTTTTTCTTTCTTTTTTCTTTTTCTTTTTTTTTTAAGACAGGTTGTTAATTTCTGTAGCTCAGGCTAGCTTGGAACTCATGGCGATCTTCCTGCCTCAGCCTCCTGAGTGCTGGGATTCCAGGAATGTGCTATCATACCCAGTTTGTTTTTTTTTTTTTTTTTTTTTTTTTTTGGTTTTTCGAGACAGGGTTTCTCTGTGTAGCTTTGCGCCTTTCCTGGAACTCACTTGGTAGTCCAGGCTGGCCTCGAACTCACAGAGATCCGCCTGGCTCTGCCTCCCGAGTGCTGGGATTAAAGGCGTGCGCCACCACCGCCCGGCCAGTTTGTTTGTTTTAAAGAGTGTGTGCATGTGCGTGGGTATGAGGAGGCCTGAAGACAACCCCGGGTATCAGCCATAGACCACCATTCATCTACTTTGAGACAGGGTTTCTTAGTGACCAGTAAACCCCAGGATCCTTCTGCCTCTGCCGTCCCAGCACCGGGAATGTGTGCAACCATATCCCCTTTTTTTCTTTAATATTAAAACAAGGATTCTCTATGTAGCCCTGGCTGAAACTTGCTATGTAGATGAGCACTCCCAGCACTCGGGAGGCAGAGGCAGGCGGATCTCTGTGGGTTTGAGGCCAGCCTGGTCTATAGAACAAGTTCCAAGACAGGCACTACACGGAGAAACCCTGTCTCGAAACAAGAGCTCACTATGTAGCCCTGGTTGATCTGGAACTTGCTTTCATCTCCTAAGTGTCAAGATTAAAGATGTGCACTGATACATATGGCTATTTAGTCTCCACTTAAAATAAACACACAAACAAATACATTGTGTGTATGAGAGACAGTGAGTGAGTACAACTTGTGGCAGTTTGCTTTCTCCTTCCGCTGTGGGTTCAGGGAACTGAACACAGGCTTGCATGCCAAGTGCCTTTACCCCCAGCTATCTCAATGCTCCCCATTTTTTTTTTTCCCCAAGACAGGGTTTCTCTGTGCAGTTTTGGCACCTTTCCTGGAACTCACTCTGTAGCCCAGGCTGGCCTTGAACTCACAGAGATCCGCTTCTTGAGTGCTGGGATTAAAGGTGTGTGCCCGGCGAGTCTCATGTAGCCCACGCTGGCCTTATGTAGCTGGGAATGAAACTGAACTCCTGGTCAGGTGGTGGTGGCACACACATTTAATCCCAGCCCTTGGGAGGCAGAGGCAGGTGGATCTCTGTGAGTTCCAGGACAGCCTGGTCTACAGAGTGAGTTCCAGGACAGCCAGGACCACACAGAAAAACCCTGTCTTTAAAAAACAAAAAAGAAAAAGAAATTGTAGGAACTGAACCCCTGAACCTCTTGCTCCCTTCCAAGTGCTGGGACCACACTAATGTGCCACCATACCAAGTGGCTTTTGGGTTTTTTGTTTGTTGTTTTTTTGAGACAGGGTTTCTCTGTGTAGCCCTGGCTGTTCTGGAACTTGCTCTGTAGACCAGGCTGGCCTTGAACTTGAAGAGCTCTGCCTGCCTCTGCCTCCCTAGTGCTGGGATTAAAGGCATGTGCCACCACCACCTGGCTGTTTTTTATTTTTATGTATATGGATGATTTGCCTGCCTATATGACCGTGTACCATGTCTGTACAGTGTCCACAGAGGAGGGTGCTGGGTCCTCTAAGACTGGCGTTATGGATGGTTGTGAGCTGCCGTGTGGGTGCTGGGAACTGAAACCAGGTTCTTTACAACAACAGTCAGTGCTCTTATCTGCTGAGCCACCTCTCCAGCCCTGGTTTTTGTTTTTTTAAGGGGGGAGAAGAGGGTCTACGCCTAGCTGGCCTCGAACTCACTACATAACTCAGTCTGATCACACACTTGTAGCAACCTTTCTGCCCCAGTCTCCCAGGTGAGAGGACTATAGGTATGCACAATCATATGGGCTCAAACAGTATTCTCCCGATGTTCTCCTTAAGCACCCACCAGGGATCCAGACCAGCTTCCCACACCTTCCCTAAATCACCTCCAGGGAAGCTAAAGCAACAGTGATTCAGAGCACTGAGTGGACTGCGCGCAGCAGACATAACAAACCGCTGGTGAGGCATCATTAAGCTTTTCCCTCAGTGCCTCTGCACACCATCTCTCTGGTTACCCCTAACCCAGACAGACATGCCTGCAAAGGGGAATGCGGTCAGGACTCAAGAAGCAGACATAAACATAAAGCCTTGATTAACATAAAGCCATCAAGAAAGAGGTCACACTGAGCAGACGGCTGTGTCACAAGATCAATACCTCCACTGAGTGCTGAGTAAAATGCTGACACGCTGGAGAAGCATCACTTGGGGCCGCCAGGGCACCTCAGATCTGAAAGGTCCTGGAGAATGCTGACTGTGCCCTTGGGTGTGTATGGAGGGGCACCTATCAGACACCCCACGGACAAATGACACCTGGAAAGATTGTTCTCCCATCCCTTTACCTCGTCCTGCCCGAGGAGGACCTTTGTGGTCAGCACTGGCTTGCTGATGTCATTGGCCACATTGCTGGGCTCCAAGGAGACTAGTGTACCCATCTTCCCGAACTGGGTCACCACAACCAGGATGTGGCTGCTGAAGGCCGTGCAGATCACCTGGGTGGGCACGCCACATACCACTTCTGTCTTCTGTTTGGATACTACCACTGGTTTGTCTTCCATGGTCCCGTCCTTCAGTGGAGGCTTCAGTTTTAAAGACAAGAAGGGAGGGAGCAGTCAGAGTCAGATACAACCTGGAGCGCCAGAGCAGAAATGTCAAGCAGTCCATTCCAAGCTGCAAGAGGTGGCCCATGTTTGTCATCCCAGCACAAGCGGGGCCGGGGCCACAGAATCCCGAGTTCGAGGCCAGCCTGGGTTACCTGGGAGAGATGCTATCTTAATGCCCAGCCCCAACTCAAAACCAAGTGTGCACATGCTCAGACAGGCTTTTGTTAGTGTCTTTGTCCAGCCACACTGCCTGCGATTACAGCCCATCTCCCGCCCCGCAGTCTCCTACTTGTAGATACCAGGGAGAAGGGAAACGGCCGAGCTGACCGGGGAACCCCGACCGCGCAGGCGGGGGACGGTTGGGGCACTACCGACTGCAGCCGGGTCCAAAACTCGCAGCAACCAGCGCTCACCGCATCAACCGCGCCAAAAGGAATATGGATAAACAACGGAGCCAGCTCACACTTAGCAGAAGCGCCGGCCGAGAACTTCCGGTTCCGGTCCTTGGTCCTGTCCGTGGGTCGCCGCAGTCCCAGAGCCTTAGGTTCCGCGTTGCAAAGGAGACGACACTGAGCCGCCGCCAGGTCTAGGAGCTTCAGGACCCCGGGGGCGGTGCTTTAACCCCAGTATAGGGGCCTTTGTGTTCCAGCTGTGGAGTGGGATGGCCATAATAGTTAATATTTCTTTTCTGTTCATTTTTGGTTTTTCGAGACAGGGTTTATTTCTGTGAAGCCAGGCTGGCTCGAACTCAGAGATTCTCCTGCTTCTGCCTCCCAAATGCTGAGATTAAAGGCGTGTGCCACCACCGCCCGGTTTATATTTATTTATTTTTTTAAGATTTATTTATTTATTATGTATAGTGTTCTGTCTGCATGTATCCCTGCCCGCCAGAAGAGGGCACCAGCTCTCATTATAGATGGTTTGTTTGTGAGCCACCATATAGTTGCAGGGAATTGAACTCAGGACTACTGGAAGAGCATCTAGTGCTCTTAAGCTCTAAATCCATCTCTCCAGCCCCGATATTTATTTTCATTTGGTGTGTACCTGGCTTTGGCTAAGGCACCATAACACCATTATATATATATATATATATATATATATATATATATATGTATGTGTATATGTGTATATATGTGTATATATATACATATATATATAACTTGTTTTATTTATTTGTTTGTTTGTTTTTTCGAGACAGGGTATCTCTGGTTACCAGGGTAGCCCTGGTTGTTGTGAACTTACTATGTAGACCAGGCTGGCCTCGAACTCACAGGGATCTCCCTGCTTCTGCCTTCGAAGTTCTGGGATTATTTATATTTTTCTTCTTTTTTGAGACAGGGTCTCAAGTAGCCTAGGTTGGCCAAGGATGACCCTGAACTCCTGATTCTCCTGCTTCCACCTTCCAAGTGCTGGGATGACAGGCACGCACCACCATACGTGGTTTATGTGGTGTGGGGATGAAATCCAGGAGTTTGGCTGGGTGTTGGTGGCACACACCTTTAATCCCAGCACTTGGGAGGCAGAGGCAGGCAGATCTTCGTGAGTTTGAGGATGGTCTGGTCTACAGAATGAGTTCGAGGACAGCCAGGGCTACAAAGAGAAACCTTGCCTCAAAAAACCAAAAACCAAACTAAACCAAAATAAAAAGCCCCAGGAGTCTGTGCAAACTAAGCAAGCACTCACCAACTAAGCTAAATCCCAGCCCCCATTTAATCTTTTTCCTCCTCTCCATTTTTCATTTCCTTCCTTCCGGGCATTGAGGAACAAGTCTGCTCATTTACATTAGGTATTGCTCATCTTACAGAATACTTTAAAAATTAAATGGTATTTATTTGTTTTTTTATTTTTTATCTGTATGAGTATTTTTGCCTGCCTGAATGTATGTGCACCATGTGCATGCATTACCCTCATAGGCCAGAAGAGGGCGCTGGATTCCATGGAACTGAAGTTACAGACCATGTAGGTGCTGGGAATCAAACCTGGTCCTTTGCAAGAGTGGCAAGTGCTCTTCACATTGGGCCATTTAATTAAAACAATTTTTTTTTTTTTTTTGTTTTTTTTTGGTTTTTCGAGACAGGGTTTCTCTGTGTAGCTTTGCGCCTTTCCTGGTACTCGCTTTGGAGACCAGGCTGGCCTCGAACTCACAGAGATCCGCCTGCCTCTGCCTCCCGAGTGCTGGGATTAAAGGCGTGCGCCACCACCGCCCGGCTAATTAAAACAATTTTTTTCTTAAAAGTATAGATTTCAGGGAGCTGGAGAGATGGCTCAGTGGTTAAGAGTACTGGCTGCTCTTCCAGAGGAAGAAGGAGAAGGAGGAAAAAGATTAAATGGGGGCTGGGATTTAGTTCAGTTGGTGAATGCTTGCTTAGTTTGCACAGACTCCTGGGGCTTTTTGTTTCTGTCCTTCCTTCCTTCCTTCCTCCCTCCCTCCCTTCCTTCCTTCCTTCCTTTCTTTCTTTCTTTTCCTCCTCCTCCTCCTCCTCCTCCTCCTCCTCCTCCTCCTCCTCCTCCTCCTTCTGAGACAGGTTCTCACTGTGTAGCCTTGGCTGGCCTGGAACTCATTATGTAGAGCAGGCTAGTGTCAAACTCAGAGATCCACCTGCTGCTGATGGGGTTAAAGGTGTGTGCCACCACATCTGGCTACACCTTATTTCTTTTTCTTCCTTTCTTTTTTTTTCTGGTTTTTCGAGACAGGGTTTCTCTGTGTAGCTTTGCGCCTTTCCTGGAACTCACTCGGTAGCCCAGGCTGGCCTCGAACTCACAGAGATCCGCCTGCCTCTGCCTCCCAAGTGCTGTGATTAAAGGCGTGCGCCACCACCGCCCAGCGCTACACCTTATTTCTTGAGGTAGGCAGGCTTTCCCCTGGTCTAGAGCTCACTAGTTAGGCTAGACTGGCTGCCAGCAGACCCGGCTATGCCTGTCTCCACCTCACCAGTGCTGGGAGTGCAGGCTGTACCAGATCTCCAGGCTTTTAAACATGGCCTCTGGGGATGGAACTTTGGTTTTGTGCTTGCAAGGTAAGAACTTCACTGACAACCGTCTCCCTCGCCCACCTCATTCTGTGTATGTGCTTCATGTTTTCCTGACCTATTCCTTTGTTGTTGTATACCTAGATCACTTCATCTTTGAAACACTGTGAGCCCTCTTGGAGAACAGAATGTGCAAATGCATGGTCTGACCCCACCCCGACCTTCCCTGGTGTTCAACTTGATGCCCGGCCCTGTTCCCTGACCCTTGCTGAGACTCAGAGGATACTTGAGCCTGGGCCACTGACCCTCACCAGGTCCCAGCTAATGCCTCAAACCCCTGACCCTCCCTGAGACTCAGGGGAAAACAGGAGGAAGCCTGTGTACTGCAGGGTGAGTTTTGCATCCAAACCAGAAAGCTCCACTGTCTCCCTGCTGAAGGTTTCACTGACGGGGAAAGTCATGGGCAGATATTGGGAGAAACTGCAGCCTCGAGACCCTTTCCCGGAGGCTGATAACCCCAAAAACCGCTTTCGGAAGCCTTTCTGGGCACTCTGCTGACGGCCCCCAAAAAGCCTCGCTTCTGCTTACACATTAAAGTCCTTAGACAGCTCAGGCATTCTTCTCAATAAATTCACTCCCTCCTTCCTTGAGTTAATGACTCCTTATCCAAGCTCCATCGAGTCGTATGAAGCTTGCTTCCGAAATGATTTCTTGGTGGTGTAAAAGAAAAGGCATGCATACAAAGCATGATGGGAATAGACACAGATCGAGAGGAAACTCGTTTCTGAGCATCTCACAGTTGGCACGTGAAGGGGGGAGATCAGGGTTTCATGGCACTAATACTCAAGAAGCAAGGAGCGTATAGATTTCTCAGCAAAGTCTTTTTGTCGGTTCTAAATTTAAACACGCATCCACCCACACACCGCAAAAGCAAATTGCTGGCGTCAAAAATTGCTGCCTAGAGAAATCTTCAAAAGCTTTTGATCCACCTTGTTATGCGTTCTCTCTCAGAGACAGAGGTCCAGGAACCCAGCCTCCCCAGCATGTGGAAACCCTGGGAACACAGTGATCACCTTTGCAAGGTGGACAGCGTTCTGGCCACATTGTTAAGCAGCTAGGTGAGGGGTTGACTTAGGGCTGGTTTGGATCTTGAGCTGTTGATCAAGTTGGAAGGAAAACAGGGAAAGGATTGTGCTAGGCTGACGTGCTGTTGTTTCAGGGAGGGGACCTCCCCATGGCTTAAATGGATGCCTGGGCGGGACTCACACAACCAGGGCTCGATGGGAAAAGCACTTTCTGTGCGAGCGCGAGAACCTGAGTTCAAATCCTCGGAACCCGTGTAAAAACCCGCTGTGGTAATGTGTGTTTGTGATCCCAGTGCATTTAGAGAGAGATGGGCAGACAGGGAAACCCCTGGCAGCTCAAGAGCCAGCTAGTGTGGTGTATGCAGCAGCAAATGAGAGACCCTGCCTTAAACAAGATGGAAGGTGAGGATCAGTGCCTGAGGCCATCCTCTGACTTCTATGTGGGCTGCAGCATGAGACCCTCCTCATCATACAGATCAGACACACATCATACACAAAGATAGTTTTAAAAAATGGAGTTATCTCATTTCTTGTTTGGCTGTTCTTCAGTGTGTGTTAGAGGGGTTATTGCAATGGAAAGAAAGACGTTCCCCCACCTTTTATTTTATTTTCGAGACAGCATCTTCCTGTGTAGCCCTGGCTGTCCTGGTTCTTGATTTGTAGACCAGGGTGGTCTCGAAATCATCACAGAGATCCACCTGTCTCTGCCTCCCTAGTGCTGGACTAGAAAAAAAGACCCTTAAGTAGATACATTTAAAATAGCACTCTTTGGGGCTGGAGAGATGGTTCGGCGACTCTGAGCACTTGCTGCTCTTGTTCTTGTGAGTTTGGGTCCCAGCACCAACGTAGGGTGCTCGCAACCACCTGTAACTCCAGCTCCAGGGAATCTGATGCCCATCTATGGCATTCACACACACACACACACACACACACACACACACACACACACACACACACACACACAAATGACAATTGTAGTTTGAGTCTGAACTATCTCCTTTATGCTCAGGAAGTGTTGTGGAGCCTTAAGGAGGCAGAGCCTGGCTGGAGGAAGTGGGTTACCGAGGGTGGCCTTGAGGCTTTATAGACAGACTCCAATTCCCCTTCATGCTCTGCTTCCTGAGTATTGGATGCAATGTGACCGGCCAGCCCCCTGCTTCTGCCACCATGCCTGCCTGCCTGCCTGCGACCACGCCCCCTCCCTACAGTGGGCTCTATCCCTCTGGAACTGTGAGCCAGAATTCTTCTTCCTTCCTCCAGTTGCTTTATGACAGCAACAGAAAAGCCAAATAAGACACCAATGGAATTAATAGTGCCAGTGCGAGGGTAAGGGTGTTACTGAGGCCAAGTGTGGTGGTGCATACCTGTACCCAGCACCTGGGAGGCTG